TAGAATTTAATTTAATCAATACCACTTGAATATTTTTTCCATAATTTATGTATTTTTATTTTTATTATCGGTTTATGTTTTTAATGTTTTTTTATTAAATATATGTCATTTGCATTTTGTTTTATATAGGTAAAATCGTTATTTAATATAATTTGATGCTAAGTTCTACTATAAAGTAAGGTTATTCACTCCAAATATGTTTTATTGTAATAATTGGGAATAAACGAAAATAATAAATTTATTCAAAATTTGAAGGACTATTTTATCAATTAAAAAGTACAACTCCAAAATGGAGTGAAAAATGAGATTACTCTATATTTGGAGGAAAAAATGGGTTTACGCCATTTTGGTTGAATATAGAGTTGAGTTGGAGAAGATTTTACTTCAAAATGGCATTTGGAGTAGGATTTAGAGTGGGATTAAAGATGGCCTTAAGCAAAGATCATAAGAAGTGGAAACATGCATATTAAGAGTCAGAAACGAACAAGTTGGTGGGTGCATCCAATCCTTTAGGTCAAGTCGTGTATATATACTGAGGCATACATATTGAGGCAGTGTGACACAAAGAGGAGAGAGAACACAACTCAAAGTATAAACTTGTTTTCGTGTTCTTGGGAAAAAGAGAGTAGAGATAGAAATCGAGTGAAACTTTTTAAAGAGTTTAGGGTTTATGAGTCTCTTGTAACTTTCTGATCTAGTAGATTCCGGAAGAAAGTTTCCGGCAAAACATATAAGGGCGTCGTGCTTAGGTCGGTAGGGATTCGAGGTGAATTAAAAAATAGCGGCCTTTTAGTATATATTTTTTAAACGATATAAAATATTCAAGATAAAACGGTAAACAATAATTTAAAAGAGCTAAGACATAATCTTTTTTCTTGTTTTTTTTGGTGAAGACATAATCTTTTCTCTTATTTTTCAATACATATTCTTTTGTATTTATAAACCAACAAAATTTACAATCGATTTCTTTTTAGTTACGATTTTTTTAAGTTTAAAATCTAGATTTCCAAAAAACAAATACAAACCAAGAATCGAAACCATGTTATTTAAATGATATCCCTTATACAATATTTTAGAAGTGATTTTCTCAGATTTGCTTATGTGTCATCACTAAAATCATTTTCACCAATTTTATTATGACATGGTCTTGAAAAAAATATGACATGGCAAAGGTGAATCATAACAATATCTTTTACCAAAATTTTCTATAACTAATTTATATTTATTTCCATAAACAATCAAAAAAAATTTTAGCAATATTTTATAATATTTGTTTTCCATTCGAAAAATGTTATAAATATTACTTTATCTCACGATAAAGTTTTAGAACACTTTTGATATAAATATAATTTTACTGAAATTTATAATAAAGAGATTTTATTATGTATTATGAGAAAAACTTTTCAAATTTATAAAAAAAAATATACATATTCTTAAACAAAAATTAATTTCTAATACAAGAGAATTCGAAAATAACAAAATAATTTAAGATAAATTGTATATAAATTTTTATATCTTTATATTAAATATAAATAAATTTATTTTAAAAATCAACTGTGACATATTTTTACATGCTAATATTAAAAAGTTAATATTCAACTTTTATATTTAAAAGAAAATCAGTTTAACATTGTCATATTATATTTAATGTTTAATAAAAAAAATCACTATGAAAAGTAAGGCCATAGTAAATCGTTTGATGAGTAAAATTGATATTTAAATCTTATATTTTTTTAATTATCCATATGAATAAAAAATCGTTTTTCTTGAATAATATATGAAAAATTGTAAGGGATGTTAACCATAAGAAAAATAAAATAATGACAAACGTTTGAAAGACAGAAGAAGCGAAACTGGTTGAGTAGTTGGTTTATGTTGTATGAAAATTTTATTAATGATTCTTTTGTTTTCAAATGGTTACTCATATTAATTATATTTTAATATTTCGATGTCAAATTCAATTTTTATTTAAAATTCAATAGAAATTTTTTTTTTTCAAAATGATCAAATTGTTGTCTATAATTTTTTTTTCAAAATGATCAAATTGTTGTCTATAATAAAAATTCAATAAAAAAAAAATTGTTGAACAAATAAAATTAACAACAAAAATATCAACATCGTTGTCTATAATAAAAATTAAAACAAATACATATTTTTAAAATTTAAATTTAAATGCAAAATTATAAACAAACTATCCGCGTGTACGCGGACGAGTCACCTAATTTACTCACTAAAACCAATAGCATACTACATATTTTTGAAAATAGGAGCTCCTAAAATTTTATATATTTTGGGGGTCCTAGAAAAATACTTTTTATTTTGTTTATGAGGCACAACCTTGGACGTGAACTCGATAAATTTGCTTGTGTGCTCTGTTTTTTTGTTACTCTGTATTTACACACCTGCATCAATGTGTTACACAATTTGATTTCAGTCTCAAAATACAAATCGATTTTTTGGTATGTGTTGAGAGTTTAAGTTGCATAAAGGAGACGCCTTTAAGCTAGTTTTCTTCACATATGTGTGTTATTAGTCAGATGAAGGATTGCATATACCCAAAGCTGGATTTGAGCACACTGATGTGAAATATTTGAATGGACTCTCAATTTATAAGGAGCCCATATTAAAAAAAATGTATATATATTTAAACAAACTTATAAGGAAAGTGTGAAAGTATTAAGGGAGAAACTTAATAGTCAAGTAAATAGAAAACTAATATGTATATTTACCTTTTCTTAGATTTCCTTTTGTTAGACGATTTCCATTCTTGTTAGAATTTCATCTTGTATAAATACAGACCTTGAGGTCAAGTAAATAACAAGCGATTCAATTCATATCATTCATTTCTTGTC